CTGGCCATGCCGGGCCGATAAGTACTCTCTATCTGGTCGAAAATAAAGGGTCACGGTCAATGTCTACAAGAATAGAGTATTTCCATCTGAAGTGTTTTCAGCAAGTTAGGGAAGAACCGTCTTTGCATTTATCTTAGTGGTTAATTTCTGTAGAAGTTGAAAAATGCTCGTAAGACGTATCTTGCACCTACTTGTTTGTTGCATGAGGAGACACTTGAGTTTTTTACAACGTGAGAGCAGTAACTTCAATGTTGATCCAGTGAATTTTGTGCAGAAGTTAAGTGCTAAGCACTCCAGTTGGATGCAGTTACTACTGAAGGCCTCAACGTGGCTGTCATCAGCAAACACAATACCATATAGGTTAACCACTCGAAGATTGGGGACGGCACTCTTTAACTTGTGAATGTTGATTACTTCGTAGATCTCTTCTTCCTCTTCTGCTACCTTATCGTATGTACCTAAAAATAGATTAATCACAAGTCAGGCTTTTGGTAGTGAACAGATCTTAGGAACAAGTCAGATTTGTAATATTGTACAGTTCTAAGGAAAAAGTGAGTCTTCTAGTAGAGAATGGCTATTAGGAACAAGTCAGACTTTTAAGTATCGACTAGTTCTTAGGAACAAGCCAGATTTGCAAATGTGAATTGTTCTAAGGGACAAGTCAGGCTTCTGGTAGTAAACAGACCACAAAAACAATAGAAAAGTAATAATTATTATAAATTTGTAAATCTCTCAACACATACATACTGATTTTCAATACCTAATGGGAAATATCTATAAACATATGTCAGAAACACATGTATCGATCTCAGCATGGCAAGTGTCATTGTTAATTCTAGAATGGTATAGGCACTACAATTTAGATGTGAGACTTTTAAAATTGTGTTTATTTTACTAAAAAGAGAAGCCGCAATTATAATCCAGAGCATAATTTTATGGATAGGTTCTAAAATGCACCAAATAGAGCGTTTTCCCTATTAGTATTTAAAAATGTATTAAAGGAACATGTCTCCAAGCTTCCTTAGATATGACGGAAATAACAGAATTTTGGACTTCTCACTGTAATATAGTGAAAAACGATTTTAAAAGGTAATTTACAGATTATAGAAACACATGCAAGTTAGCTAGCATCTCACTGTAAACGTCGGGATGGTTCTTCAACTACAGTCACATGACAGACATTAAAAGCAAATCACACTGAATGGGTCAGTAACATGTCTCCACAACTTAATTAGTGGTTGGTATAGAGGGGTATGGGAACTATATTCCAAGGGGGAAATATTCATACAGTGAGAGTGGTAAATAATGTAGAGCTAAAAGAAGAGAAATTTCAAAGGTTGTTGCTGAAAGAAAAATTGAAATATTTGCATAGCAGAGTATTTAGGATAACGATAGGTGCTGAAATCACATCCCAAGTCATACAAAGCAAACACCCTTATCTACAAAATGAAAGTCATGGTTAGGAAAGAAAATACTTTAACCTAAAAAAGCCATTATGATGAAGTTGGGAATTTCTATTGCTACCAATAGCAAAGTAACATACAAGATTTGAAGCCTGATCTCATGAAAACAACACTGCAGGCCATTATTAAGAAACGGGAGAAGCAGATAGAGCATCATTTCCTGAAGGCAGTATCCAGGGGGTTGGGGGTTTGAGCCCTCAGAAATGTTGAAGAAATATATACAGGGTTACACGTTATCAGTTGAATAGTACCACTTTAATCCTCGAAGAAAACCTTCGCAACCTAATGGGTGTCTGCTGAACGATTCAGACGTAAATCCTTGAGCTCGATAAATGAACCTACATGTTTCCAACGGACACCAACGCGAAAATGAGCTTTATCCACTGATGCGGCTACATAGTTTTAAAAGTGAACAGCCTTTGTGCAAACAACAAAGAGCAAGCGTCGTGGACAAATTGACATATTAAGTTTTTCAAACGGAATAAAGATTGAAATGCAGCTGAAGAGTCTAGCAAAAGTGAAACAGTCAAATGAATTTTCTTTTCTTTAGAAGCAAACACGATAGGGATGGAAGTGGACATATCATTTGATCCGGCTAATGATCACATAGCAGACTAAGCCGTCTCGACTTTACCTGGAGAATAAAATCCCTACATTACTGGCTTCCCCACTGTCTATCGAAAGCTTGGTGTATGAATAGAATCTTAGCTTACATCATTATACCTTTCCTTTAGTTCACTTTAGAATACTACCTTTATGACTATTTTACAATAGAGTAACATTTTGCGATTGGAAGTTCTGGTTCTATTTGTTTTGCCAGTGAGAAAGCCTGTAATGTAGGAATTTTATTCTCCATGTAAAGTCGAGATGGCTTAGTCTGCTATGTGATCTTCAGTCGGTTAGATTCCTTTTTTAAAGTTCCGTAAGCAGCACTAAATAGTTTTTTTTATTTAGCGATAAATTTGTTTCCTAATACTTGTTTGTTTATTTTTCTTATAAGATGGCGTACATTAGTTACTAGTTTATAGAGTGCATTCTAAAAGCTTCATGAATTTTGCATAAAATAACAGTAAAATAGGTAGTCAAAGATCGTGACGACTGTTTTGCTCTATCATGTGATGATAAAATTATAGTTACTGCTAGAACTAGGTAGGTGCTAGGCCTGTTGAGAAAAGATGATGATGAACGAAAATAAGAATTCTCGGTTTTGGCTATTCGCTGGTTTTCAATTTTGGGACGCTCTGCATAGCTGAAAAGCGGCACATACACCGGAGATAGAGCGACTACGCCAGGTAGTTCTTCATATTTAGCTTCTGATGACCTGTAGAAAAGAAAATCCATATTACTTTAATACAGGTGTTCCGTGCCATCCCTGCATAGAGTGCTAGTGCACTCTCCGATTAGGCTGATTAGACTACTTGAAGCTATAGCTCAGAATCTCTTTGATTTGTAATTTAGATCAAATTTATTGTCTATCTGTGTCTATTCAGTGAAATTTATGAAACATTCGGATTTCGAACTACTGTTTTTCTAATTATTTGAAGTCTTAGAAGCCTGCTAGTTTATAGCAATTTTGACTTCTCAGAGAGGTGGGTATAAACCTGATAGACAATTAATACAAATTAGGGAAAGCTTAAATAGTTATATTATTTATTATTATGTATTCATTGTAGCGTAAGCCGCTTCAGCAAAAATTATTATTTTTGTTTGGACATCAGATGCAATATATAATTTTCTTAAGATTATTTTAAAGAAATTTCACAATAGTAATTTCTGGCCAAATATGTAACACGTTTTTAGACCGAATCAGTTTCACTTTAATCTTACCTACAGGTTCACAGATACGCCCGAAACGACTACTGGAGTTCTCAAACCAAGCAGTTCCATTGGTTCAAGCACTCTAAGCCATTTTCCGTTCGAGATTGGGCGATTCATCAACCAGGCATGAAATGGATGTTGCAACGAGCTGCGGCTGCTAAAGTAACCTTGGATTCCGGATTAATCCTACGCTTTCCTCATTTCAGGCAAGCGAAATCTACACTTTCAGACATATTGAATGGACAGCTTTCCGTGGTTCACATATTCAGACCATCTCTAAGATGTGTTCGGCAAATGCTACAGAGTACTTGCTGGCGACCCTGCTGGAAAGAGTGAACACCAACGCCTTAGTTCTCTTGTCCTCAAACCCTTTGCAGCATGGGAGGATGATTTACTTCTTCTCAGAGTCAAGTGAAGTTTCATCTCAAAGAGTATGAAATTTGCTGAAAACTTTTTGACTGTTCAGAAAGACAAACAGTAGAGTATCTTAAACCAGCTCGATCGTGCAATCGTTGTTGTCTTTCGTTGATACATCAACCATGTTTTCAGCCATTTCAACGTTGAAAATATCCTCTCCGGGAAATACAACTGGCGAGAAACGTCTGACAGGAGTAACGTTACTATTTGTACATAGAAAAATTGACTATGATTGATTATGCTAAAGTAACTGAGTGCTTTGTTGTTGAAATCACGTAGGATCGATTTTGTTCTGTAGTTTATTTTCTTGGTAAGATTTTTGAATATATAGGTATAAGGCTATCAGTTTTTAATTTCACTTAAACTGCCTACTTCTGAAACATCGATACAACCCCTACGACCCTGAAAAAATTCATGGATACTGCCTTGCCAGTACTAATAATCAATTTCTAAAAAAAAAAGAAATAATATTGCATACTAAAGAATAACACGGTCTAAATAAAAATAAGAAATTAGCAATAAAAGCATTTTTTGCTTTGAAATATCGTAACTAAGGTATTTCATTTTCATATAATATCATTTGGATATATTTTGATAAGACTATAGATGCCATATATATATATATATATATATATACATATTATTATTATTATAGTTTTATAACATTTTCTACATATTTCTTTTATTTCCAATTTGGTTGAAGTTACTTCTAATAAAAATTGAAAACAAAACTAAATTTATATTACACTGCAAAAATACAATAATGCGTAATTCGAATTTGTAGCATTACATTTATGACTAGACAACGCCTCCATTAACATAATGTCAACTACTTCCTCAGTTTTTGTCATGCAAATCAGGTATCTAAAGATCATTCACATGATCTGAAATACATATGATTGGTTAGTCACTCTATATCCTATATAGTGGTCATAAAAAATCTGTTCTCAGCTGTCACTTTGAAGTGAGTCATGGACCATAAACCTTGAAAGAGCATGGCTAGACCCAAAAGAAGATATTGGATACTTTACTTATGTGCAAAATCATTGGACGAATGATCAATGATAGAAGCAATTGCACAAGTATAACAAAGTATTGTTAGCACAATGTGAAATCACTTTCACTTCAATAATACAATTGCTATAAACTATCGGCATTACCCACAACACAGGCAGACAACCACTATATGTCGATTCTGAATTGCCCAATCATAAAGACTTTAGAAGGTCGGCTTATATTTCAGACTGTTAAAGAGTCACATTTAACTCACAGCAAAGCACAAAACAGCTCACCTGCAATAGTACCAAGAACACGTCCAGTGGACAAACAATATGTGGAGCAACATTTTTTACCGATGAGTTTCGCTTCACCCTGCAACCAGACATCGGTCGTATACTCATTTGAGGAGAGTCTGTAACTCAGTCTAACCCAATTTTCATACAGAACCGCGTTGCAAATATGATGTAAGCAAGAATAAGCTTTGGCTGAAGTACTGACCTGTACACTATGTGAAATAACACCACTAGGCCCACACATGACAGGGGCTATATTCTACGATTCTTATGATTAGCCATATGCCGGTGATTTTAGCCTTGACTTCAGCATAATGGATGGTAATTTCTATTCTCACCATTTTACGTTGCTCGAACCATACTCTGAAGGAGGTAGACGTGACTGAATGGAGGGGCCTGTATATTCTATTGAGTATGTACAGAATGCATTTGGGAGATATGCTACGTCTTGCCAAATGACTCCAATCACTAAAGATATCATGGAAACAGCTTATTCGGAGTAGTCGAGGATACGCCAGGATCTATCAAAGCTCTGTTTAAGCATGCAGCATCAATGTCAGTCGAGCTTCATTTTTCGTGGCTATTTCATTCCGTATTGAAGTGAAATTTTTATTAATAATTATTGGTTAAATGACCTATCATTTGCATTTCAGATCACACAACACATAAAACACATGCTTGATTTATATAAAAGTGAACTGGGGTGGCTGATATTATTTTACAAAGTTTTATGTGTGTGAAAAGTTAACAGTTTAATATAATACTATTTTATCATATTATTTTACAAAGTTTTATGTGTGTGAAAAGTTAACAGTTTAATATGATAGTATTTTATCATGTTATTTTACAAAGTTTTATGTGTGTGAAAAGTTAACAGTTTAATATAATACTAATTTATCATATAATTTTACAAAGTTTTATGTGTGTGAAAAGTTAACAGTTTAATATAATACTATTTTATCATATTATTTTACAGAGCTTTATGTGTGTGAAAAGTTAACAGTTTAATATAATACTATATTATCATATTATTTTACAAAGTTTTATGTGTGTAAAATGTTAACAGCTTAATATAATATCATTTTACTTGAATTATGCTTAAGAAAGTTACCAGCAAAATGATATGATAACAATTACCATCAGTCTACTTGTGATACAAAAAAACATGTAGTCTTTATTCGTTACATATTTACCTATAAGGTGTAACACTTCTAAACCATTGATGAAGTTGTAGATCTTTCGCATAAAACCCTCCATAAAGATCACCTCTGATAGGCAGATACACATTGTTCGTAGCTTGGTTGGGAACGTTTGGAGATCGTTAAAGTCGTGTAGCTGCATGGCTGTTGAGAAGTCTAACAACATGGATGTCAGGTTAGGACACTTGTTGGCGAGTTCGTGGAGAACAGTGTGGGTAATAAGTTCAATTGGCAGCTCAATGTACCGCAGTGAAGGACCTAAGTACACATTATAGGTTTTAAAATAATCTAATATATATGTCGTACATGTTACTGTCAAAAACAAAACCGATAAAACAAATAATTACTTGAATATACTATATGTTGTAGGTTGTTTATAAAATACTTTTCTCTAGGATTTTTAATATTTGAAATAGTTATTACCTCCCAAAGCGTGGTATGAAGCAATCCACGTGATGTGATAAGCTTCCAGGTGGCTCGTACTTATATTTAAGTGAATATATATGTATATACAATATAAAAAGACAACATTTTTATTATGGATGTACGCGCCAACAAATACACGATCGCACCAGTGAAGCTGTAACAAAACAATGTAAAATTATATTATTTATACTAAAAAAAAAAGAAATAAGTAAAGGTACTCGGCTGGGTGAAATGGACCTGTTTTTGAAAAATAAAATATAATTGTAAACATAAAAAACGACATAGCAGCTCATATAAATCCCGGTATTAGTACCGCCTTAAAAAAAGGTGAGTACCGGCTGAATTTCACCCCTGTTTATATTTTTGTATGAATATTGTGATTTTAAAGTGAAAATTTCTGCAGTCAAAGCATCCAAAAGCATTGGGGACATTCCGTCTATCAGACATAATCAAAAAACAGATGCAAAACTAGAATGCAAGCTTCACATTCAATAAATGGTTAAGATCTGCATACTAGAGCACATAACGCCTCAGATTCCACTACCACTCACCGATGATAGCATAAAAGTTACTCCTAAAAACATTAGAAATAGAAATATAATACTATCAACCACCCTCGATTTCTTTCAAAAATATCATCACCCAACTTCAACCCTTCAAAATAACAAAACTGATGTCATATATCACTCTTTATGTCTATCAAAGGACATCACCCAGCCTCCACTCTTGTCTAATTACTATCTGATATTAATATATAATATTAAATTAAGAATTTTACAGCCTTCCTATATAATTCAAATAGTAATAATAACATTGATGTACCCTCTCTTAAGTCTATCAAAAGTACATGATATAAATAACTAACCGATATAGTTCCAGCAGTCATAGTTTTAATAATATATGGCGTTATAATTCTAGTGATATTATAATAAAAGATGCTATAAACCCACCTATATAGTTATGTTACCCCTACCTCCTCCCTTAACAAGAACCTAATCTTCCAAACAAACCTGGGTAAACTGAAGTCAACATTTCTGACCCAGATTTACTGAACATTTTGTTATAACTGCCGCTAGTCTTATACATTAGCGTCATTTAAAAGATTAATATTTCAAGTTAGAAATAATGCCATTAAAATTGTTCGTAAAAGACTTATTTGCTAATAAGTTATAACATGCACTATAAAATAATTTAAAGACTTTACTAATTTCAAAGTTATAGTAGCCATTAAATAAAAGTTTATCTTTGAATAGTTCTACATTACACATGAAGAAAGTGCTTTTATTACATTGTTAGATATCTTTAATTTGTGAGATTATCATATGTGGCACCACACTATAAGGGGAGAGTAGTCCCAGAATGTAAAATTTAAATTCTTGTTTTTTTCAGATATGTCCAATTGCACTTTATTTTCTAAAATAGTTGATATATAAATCTAAAAAAGTGCACTTGGTTAGTTAAATAAAAGTGCCTGAGTAATCGTCTGTATGCCTTTTAGGTGAAGCAGATAATTGTGAAAAAAAATATATATATATGACTATTAACTCAAACACATTCACTTATAAATGTTCAATATAAAATGGCTGAGTAATCGCCTGTACGTCTTTTATGTGAAACAGTCAATTGTGAAATCTGTATAAATATAATAGTGCTGTCAGTTGTCTATTGTGTGTCCATGTAACTACTTTGCAGGGTGTGGATGGATCTTCACCAAAATCAGTATGGAGGTTCATTAGGTCTATGCGGGGGTACATTCAAATGTTCAGTTTTGAATTTTGCGTTTTGCGGTTTTTATGGGTGTTTTTTACCACTACTTAACCTCCTGTGGATGGATCTTCACCAAATTTAGTATGCAGGTTCATTGGATCCATGGGGAGATGCATACAAAGTTTCAGTTTTGCGGTTCTTATGGGCGCTTTTGCGGTTTTTACAACTACTTCGCCCGCTGTTGATGAATCTTCACCAAATTTGGCATGAAAGTTCATTGGGTTCGTGCGGAGGTACATGCAAACTTGCGGTTTCATATTTTGTGTTTTGCAGTTTTTATGAGCGTTTTTACATTTTTTACAATAACATATAAGGGAAGCAAGTTTTCATATCCTAAGATAACCTTTCATTAATCAGAATTTACAAAACTTCTATCCAGAGGACGGGTACTCCAGCTAGTATACTATCAACTCAAAATTATTCACTCATAAAAATTGAATATAAAACTATGTTTTTTGTTTTGCTAACATTTTTTCAAGCAAGAAGCTACCATTTCAGTATAATATTATGCTTGCATTAGGCTAAGAAATTTACTGAATGGAACAAGAAACAAAGTTATGTGCTGACAAAAATGATTAGAAATGTGAATATTCAGTAACGTCAAACAAATAGAAACGTTGAATACAAGTATATCTTTTATGTAAATTTTACTTTTATTTATAAATCCAATTACAAGTAGATTTGCGTTTTATTTTAAATTAATGCGATTCATACTTACCAAATCGAATTGATATTAGAGCCAATAATGATTCTATCGTGTACACATGAAGACCAGAGACCTCTGGACGCAGAGACACGCGCATCCAGAGCCTAGAATCGCAGGATATCATGCGCCATTTTTTACACACCCGAGCTAACCTCCCCACTTCTTTATGGGGAAGATAGGTGAAAATCTTGAGAAGAATCTTATCGGGAATCTTCTCGATTGTCTGAAAGACAAAGGGAAAGTGATCAATATTCTATAGAGGTATTAATGCTGTATTTCGCTAAATACTGCAGTATCCTGATTAAATATCAAATATATGAGGCAGAAACCATTTGAAATTTGTTTTCGAGAGTTTGGGGTTAAATATTAGAAGTAGTTTATGTGTTCAGTTGTCACTCAATCCTGACACCTTTATAAAAGTAAACTATATGCTAATGTAACGTAAATAATACAGGTTGAATATAAAGAAGTGTGGATGAAAACCGCGGAAGATACAATAAGGTATCGAACAAAAAGAAATTTGGATTTACATTACGTGTAAAGCACTCGAAAGCAATATAAGTAATAAACTCGATTTTCAGAAAGTGATGTAATGATTCTGAGCAAATTTCAAGTGTGATCTAAGAACTCTATTCACTTTTAAAATAATGTAAGCACTCTCAAATTTACTACAACTGATTTACTCACTTTATATATCCAACTTCTAAGAGTAACTTAAGGATTCTGTCCACTTGAAAAAATAATCTAAACACGTCCTTAATCTTAATAAAAGTGACTTAATCACTTTATATAGTCAGATTTTTAACAGTAATCTAAGGATTATACTGAACCTTAAGGGTGATATAAGGATTCTATCAACTTTTCAATAGTAACTGAAACTTTCATCCAACTTTCAAAAGTAACCTAAAGAATATACCCAACTATTAAAATTATTCTTTCAAAGTTGAAAAACAACAACAATCTAAGCACTCTCATTTTTAGAAGCTATTGAAACACTTTTTTATACTTAGTTTTCTAACAGTGAAACTAAGAATGTATCTAATTTACGTCGAGATAATCTTTCTCATGTTTGAACAAGTGTTTATGTATGGTTACTTAGCTACTTTCCCCCCAGTGGCACAGCGGTATGTCTGCTGACTTACAACGCTAGAATCCGGGTTTCGATACCCGTGGTGGGCAGAGCACAGATAGCTCATTGTGTAGCTTTGTGCTTAATTACAAACAAACTTAGCTACTTAAAACTATTTTGATAATATCCAAATGAACTTTTTTGAACTTTGGATAAATTCTATTTAAAAACACAGAAAATAAGCGTTGAAAACCATCTATAAACAAACATCTTCGCCAAAAGATAATTTATATAAATCAAATGTGTTTAATGGAGTCGATGGTGTTTTAAACGAAACTTCCAATAAATAATTCATAGGTAGCTTAACATGTCCTAAGTGTAATCAAGCTCTGATTATCTGTTTGGAAACATTAAACATAATTAAAGGAGAATATATAATTTGATTTTATCCATAATAATCAAATACATATGGCTTGGATATAACACCTACAGCGTTTGGTATAAAGTTGAATCCATTTTTTGTTCCTTGTTGATTTTCTTTGATGTGGGCGATGGCAGATGACGACACGTCTTGGGTAACAGTCCACAGCTCCATTTAACAACTGTTAGTTAATACAGGACCCGAAAAATTATTTACATCGCCGAAATAAGCGAACGTGGGCAGCACAAATGATAAACTTTATAAATTTTTAATACTAATGAACGGGTGATGGTTGCTCAGTTATCACAGAATGGCAGATTTGGAAAGATCACGTATATGTATAGAGTCTGTGCGAACGCATCTAACGAGTCGAGTTGAAAAGGGAAACGTCTGATACGCAGTTATTTTGGGATTGCTATCTGAAGGAACATGTAAGACTACAAACACGTTTTGGCAAAGCACACGTTCATCTAGAAAGAGCGTTTACGATTTTTTTTTGTCTTTCATCTACAGAGGATTTGTGACTGTTACGTTTTCGTGTAATATGAAATCTCATTAAATTACTTAATTACTGTTTTATACTTTTTGTTTTAAGTCTATTTATTATTCAAGCTTCATCAATAACAAAACCATTTACAAACTTCACAACACAATAAGCCTATCACATCAAGTAGAAACATGATGTGTCGAATAACAAAAAAATAATAATAACCCAAGAGTCTGGCCTTAAGTATGCATTTGATTTTTCATATTCAAATACAGAGTTACATTTCTTTTTTCAAAAGAAATATGAAATAATTTGAAGTTACACTTAGTAATAATAGGATAGCAGTTTAAATAAAGGAAATATTGTACTTAATAGAGAAGGCGTAGAGTAAAGCGTGTTGAGGAAGTTATTGGTATGTTTCAGTGTAAAACACAAAGAAATGGTGACTTCTAATGTTTTAATATAAAGTATGGTGAATAATTTTATCTTTTAATGTAAAACGCGATGAAGTAGTTATTTTATTGTTTCTGTGTAAAGCTTGGCAAGGGCGTATTTGGAAGTTTATTTCATTGCGTAAATTTACTCTTGATTTTTATTAAAACATAATTAAGTAATATTTTCAACAGAAAACCTATTACTGGCACAATTATAAGTTGTGGGTTAAAAGTGATAAACATTTAAACAATGTTAACAAATGTACTACCTGTGCATAAAAACAACAGTTAGCTTACAAATTAAAAGGAAATTTTGCTAACATGATAGCAGTGTTAGATTAGCGATTAACGAACATACGTCATCCATCGATGGTGAAAAATATACTGTTCTTGGGACACTTTACAATAGTAAAATAGAAATAAAGGTTTACGAGCGCTTCTTAAAGTATTGTTGGTTTTGGAATTAAGCACAAAACTACACAATGGGCTCTCTGTGCTCTGCCCACCAGTAATTGCTTTTTGGAGATCTTGCGTACACCGTTGAAAAATCCGGACTTCCACATGAAGTTAACGTATTTCATTTGGGGGTTTGAACAGTTAAAGGGGCACAGGATTTCGGAGTGGCCGAACCACCTTACCAGCAACGGTCACACACACGAATTGATTATCTCTTTTTTTTTTGGTTTTTCCAAACAAATTATGCGACCTTTCTTCGTTGTTTGTTTGAGGATGGATACCTTGTTCTTCAGCTTCCTGATCTGGTGGAAGACTATTACTACTATCATTACTGTCTATGTCCGCACCAAGCCTATTTTTGAGTGCCTCTATACTATCTTTGGGTTTAATAGATGTATTTGCCTCAACAAAGGCTGTAAAAAAGCCCATAGCGATTGCATCAACAGTGGCTGCACAGGTTATAAGTCGAACATCCCGTACCCTTGCCAAAGCATGCAGGTAATGAAGGATGAAAAATGGTGATTAATGATGGCATGCCGAAGAGTAGCAGAGTTCCAGTCATGGTCAAAAAGATTTGGAGCTACGTGATGAAGATCTGTTAAGCTCTGGTCTAAAAAACAGATACAATGACGCGTGAAGAAAAAGAAGGCTCACGTAGTAGGTGGGCCTGTCGGTTACACAACAAGAAATACTATCATTAACTATGGGGTTTCTGATGATGATGAGTCCAGTCATATTGGTCAATTTTTATCCAATTTGAAAACCATAAATTGTAATCGTCATATCTTATTGTACGCTACATCGTTATAAGTTTCATCAAAATCAGATAAATAACGAAATGTTTATTTCAGAACCCTGCCACCGAGGCACCTCTGGTTGAGAGAGGGATCATGTGTTAGATCAGGCTTAATCGGGTGCCCATTTTCTGGTTAACAGCTTATAGAGTGGCATAGATGTAGTATGGATGAATGATAAACAAGTAAATACACTGCACTTTTAAAATTATATTTGTGTGAATTAATTTCAGTTCATGTAATTATAGGTCCATACTTTACTAGGGTGGATAATGTATGAAACGAACATTGAACTGTAAATTAAAACTTTTACACAATGTATATTTGTTAATTTGTGAACTGTGTGAATACTACTAGAACATATTATATGTCATACGGCATTAAGCGCAGCACCCAGCTCAGGTTTCTCAGGAATATTTCTTCCTCAACTTCATCGGAAAGTCGCTGTAAAAACAAAACAACAATAAACATTACTGATGCGTTTTTAAATCACCAATTCGTCCACGAACCCAATTTCAACGCTTATAACAACAGAAAGTAGACAATGTTCAAGATATCACCAGTACACAACGACCATGAAAGCAGCAGGAAACAAGTCATAGCACCAGCGATACACAACGCTCTTGACATTAGTGGTAGAGAAAGCTCCTGGCACTAGCGGCATATAAAGCTATTAGCACTAGCGGCACACAAGCTCTTAGCAAAACCGGTAGACAAAACTCTTGATTCTAGAATTACACAATGTTCCTGACACTGGCGTTACACAATGGTCCTTACACTAGTATTAGATTGATCTCCTGAAACTAGTGGTAGAAAAAGCTCTTGACACTAGCAGCATACAAAACTCTTAGTAGTAGTGGTAGACAGGCCTCCCGACACAAATGGTAGGCAAAGCTTTTGACAATTGCAGTATACAATATTCTTAGCGTGAGAGGTAGACAAAGCTCCTCATTCTAGTAGTATACAAAACTTTTAACATTAGCAGTAAACAATGCTTTCAGCACTTGTGATAGACAAAGCATCTCATACTAGTAGCATACAAAGCTTCTGACACTAGCAGCATACCAAGCTTCTGACACTAGTGGTATACAAAGCTTCTGACATTAGCAGTAAACAATGCTTTCAGCACTAGTAGTAGACAAAGCATATCATACTGGTAGCATACAGAGCTTCTGACACTAGCAGCATACAAAACTCTTAGTAGTAGTGGTAGACAGGCCTTCCGACACAAATGGTAGGCAAAGCTCTTGACAATAGCAGTATACAAAGTTCTTAGCGTGAGAGGTAGACAAAGCTCCTCAACTAGTAGTATACAAAACTTTTAACATTAGCAGTAAACAATGCTTTCAGCACTAGTGGTAGACAAAGCTTCTCATACTAGCAGCATACAAAGCTTCTGACACTAGTGGTATACAAAGCTTCTGACATTAGCAGTAAACAATGCTTTCAGCACTAGTGGTAGACAAAGCTTCTGACACAAAGCTTCTCATACTAGCGGCATACAATGCTTTTGATACTAGCATTAGACAAAGCTTCTGACACTAGCGGTACTCAACACTCCTGGCACTAACGTTGTACAAAGCTTCCTGACACTAGTGGTACTCAATCTTCCTGATATTGGGGGTATACAAATCTCTTGGCTGCCAGCAATAGGCAGTAGGCTCGTTTGAAAAAAAACAAAAAAAAACATAGTTATTCTTTAAATATTTTCCGGTGTTTTTTAGAGGAAGACAATCAACAAATATCAAGTCATATTTGCCTGGTTATCAAGCTTAAACAAAATATGAAAACATTAAACTATAAGCATAATAGTCTGATTGTCAAAAAAAAAAAAAAAAGACAAAGAAAGGAAATACGAAAGTTTGTTTATAGACTAAAAGATAGAACCGTTAGGAAATAGTCCAAACTATAAATCAGCATAAAATGTTAAACTACAGTTCCATTAAACCTTTTATAAATAAGTTCTTACGATAAACAGGGTTATAAATCTTTAATACACCTCACTACAGATATGAAAGCTTAAAAAACTTGTTTGTTATGAATTTCGCGTAAAGCTTTAGGCCTAATTTAGCAGTGGGAAGGCAGATACTCATCATCACCTAACGCCAACAAATAGTGAGATTGACCGTCACATTATAACTCCCCACGGCTGAAAGGACGAGCATGTTTGGTGTCACGGGGCTTCGAACCCGCGATTACGAGTCGAGCGCCCTAACCACCTGACTATGCCGAACCTTTTAAAAAAAAAGTATTTGGTAAGTTACTGTTTATAGGAATAATGTTCCCTGTCCCATGCTACTTTAGTTAAACAGCACATTTAGACAAACTTTTCTTTTTCGCATCACTATAATATGACATTAGCTTCCAAGAATACAATTAAACAGATCAATGGCACAAACGTCCACTGGAACTGCATCTGAGTATTTGACAATTACGTAGTTGAATCGGATTACTGTGACTTCAGTTTCTTTGGTTATCTTTCTCATGAACATAGCTGTTAATTTGGAGATGTGAAAGGAAGCCTGTGAGGTTTAATCAACTTGAAATTCTTATTTATAGCTTGTTTATGGTACCGATAGATATGCTTAGCTTCATTGGATTTTTTTTTCTTTTGAGGATAAAAGGGTTCTGTTTCACAATTACAACCTTCAGTTTATGGATAAAGGTGTTGTTTCAGATTTTTATATTTTTGAAGTCTTTGACTATTCTAAATGCTCTTTTGTGTAAGTTTTTCCGCTGCTAGGAAAAAACTGAAGGTTCCCTTTTAAATATTTGTCGTTCTTTAGTTTTACAGCCATTAACTATCTTAGTAAATAAGTATTCTTTCCAGGAAAGGGCTGTAACACATATATTCAACGAGTGATAAGTCAGCTGTGATGGCATTGCATTATTGAATGGTCGGGCATTTTTCTGTGAGCCACATTTAGAGTGCTTGGCACCTACAAATCGACAATTAGACCTAAGATATAAGTACGTTTAGTAGGCGAAGCAAAATTTTTGTGTTGGCTTTTGTTTGTAATTAAGCAAAAAGATACAGAATGGGCTATCTGTGCTCTGCCCACCACAGTTATCGAAACCCGGTTTCTAGCGTTGTAAGTCCGCAGATATACCGCTGTGCCACTGGGGGGCACGAATCAAGAGTTTACCTGCTATATATATATATCTAC